TTTTTTCTATTTCTTGTTCTAAAAATTCTCCAGATATTTTCGAGATATTCTGGTGTTTATAGAGATCGATTTTTTGGGCTCAAATTTTCATATTTTTTCTTCAGAAACTCTGCTGCTCTTTGGGTATAATAAACCTTAACATTATCTAAGAGAAGCCAATGCTTATCAGAGAAAAGTAATTCTTCTAGATTCAGGTCCTGTGATGACAACAAGTAAAGTGTTCTGCTGGGTATGTTATTGACATATTCACAAGTCTCTATATAAAAAACACATTAACATATAAGGGTTTCCATATGTTTACGGCAATAAGCGATTGTCAGACCACAGCGATAAATGGAGCTTTACCTCAGCACCAAAATTGTTGCATGCTTCATGGAGCCCATAAGCACCTGAAAAGGGGTGAGCTATGATGACAACAAATGAGCACAAGGCAATCAGAGATGAGCAGCGGATGAGCCCTAGTGAGGATGAAGCACACAAACATTTTAATATAAAAATTATTGCGGCATAAAGAAGGCTCATTAGACAACACAGACAATGTTTTCAGAGATAATATGTTACCAAATATATGAGAGAAATATTTATAATTATTTGTGAACATGTGCTAAGGATGTATGTAATATTACAGAGAGTTGCTCAAAAATAGCTGTGAGAGCACTACAATGCGTAGTTAGAGAACAGAGAACGCGAGAACGGTTTTCAAGCGCTGCCAATGTCCTTTATCGATTTTTAACAGCAGCGCAGTTGGAGTCAGCACATACAGTCGACTGCGCGGTCTGCTATTGATTATAAGCGGAAATGAAGTAAACACAACAATGCAAAAGTGCTGGATAATGAAAAGCGGCATAAAACAATATGACAGCAACCACAATAGCCGTTTCAATAATAATGCTTAAACAATGTGTGCTTAACAAAAAAATTTTATTTTCAGCAAAAATATTGTCTGGAGACAATACTAGCGAGAGTCAATGAACGTGCTAAAAAATAAAAACAACAAGAAAATTAAAGTATAAATGAAGTGCAAGAGAGCGTGGAGAGTGGGCGGAGATGCCAAACAGGCCGAAAAGTAGCAACAGACACAGGTCGGCGCTGCTATTGACGCTAACAGCGCTGCTCGCAAAATAAATAGCAATAACAACAAAAAAGATTCACTTTGAATGAGCGGCAAAAAAGAAATAAACCAAAATAAAATGCGGTCGTCAGCTGCTGCATGCGCCACATAAGATGTTAACAGAGGCGCTAACATACTAACATTCTTATAATGTAATGTTAGAGGCGAGATATAGCATAAATTATAAGCTGTTATATGCAGCAGACGAGTAGAAACGATTTTTAAAAAATAAAAACAAATAATAAATTAAAAAGTAGAAAATATGCACATATAAAACAATATTAAAAAAAAATTTTAATTTTTTAAAAACAAAGATAAAATAAATAAAATAACAAAATTATAAATAAATTGATTTAACTATACAATAAAAATAGGTCTTATGCAACTAAAAATTGAATTCAAATTTATAAATTTTTTAAACAGGAAAATGGGAATTTACTTGTTGAAAATAATAAAAAAGGGATATTATAATAATAAAAAATAAATAAGTAAATACAAAAAAAAAATATATAAATAAATTTAATTAAATGGTATAAAATATATTATGAAAAAAATTCACTTTTTTTAAGATTTAAAAAAATTTAAAATAGTTATTGGGAATATTAACTTAAAACACGAAGAATTAAAAACACATGTATAAAAAAAATTAAAACAAACTTACACACTGAAAAAGACAGCATTCGTCAAAGAATATTGCACAATTTTGAAAACATTAGCTACTATTGTACAATATTAATATTTTAAAATATATGTTTATTAAAAAACGGCTTTAAACACAAACTAAAAACATTAATAAATTTTAATATGCTAATTCTAATATATATGCAAGTTATAATTATTTATTTATTTTATAATAAAACGTGCATTAAATCATAAGCTAAAATAAAGTAAAATAAAATAAAAATGATTAAAAAATAAATTAATTAATGAATTTTAATAAAATTAATTAAACTGAAAATACATTACATAAACAAGAAGCATTAATAGAAAATATGATAAACGTATGTACATACTTGTTTATAAGTGAAATTAAAAAAATATAAATTATATAAATAAATTTAAATTCAATATAAAAAAAAATCAATAAATTAAAAAAAATATAACAAAATTAAATAAAAGTGTTAAATAGAAAGATAGTAAAATAAAATGTTTAAATAAAAAAATAAATATTTATTTTAAATACTTTGTAAACCAACTAAAAAAAATTAATGCAATGAAATAAATTATGAATAAATAAAGAACAAAAAAAATAAATATATATAAAAAATGTTAAATTTCATCAATATAAAATAATAAAAATTCACAAAATCAATAAAATGTATAATAGAAGCAAAAACTAAATTTAATTTTGTAATCTAGTATATAAGAAAAATTATGAGGAATAATATTAAATAAACAAGGAAAAAATGTTAACTTCGGCTGCACCGAAGCTATAATACGCTTCACAGGTGCATTTTTATAGCACAGTATACTATAAAAAGGTCTTTTTTCTTAATTTTGTTCGCTCGGTTTGTAGGGCAGTTATATGATATAGTGGTCCGATCAGAACAATGTCTTAGGAGATTGCAGCGATGCTTTGGACAATAATCTATGAAAAATACAGAAAAAACATGACATGAAATAAAAATTTGTTTTAAAAAATTCCAGGCGAGGACATGAAAAAATAAATAAAGAAACTTATTTAACTTTACATATGGTTCAAATGCTACATATAGTCACCTAAAATTATAAAAAATTATCTTACAAAATTTAAATTTTACGAATATTTTTTTGAAATATTTGTCATATATCCTAACTGAAGTATTCTTGTTGCAAATACTAATATAGTTATGAATAGATTTTTCAGACAGTAAAACGCTATATACACTGTAAACAACAATAAACAACAACAAGTTAAGTGCTACTGTAGTCCAAAACTACAACCACACGGAAGTGCAGAGCAACAGCGAAAAGCGAAAAAACTGAATGCATGCTAATATTAGACGCCACAAAGCAGCGTAATGTGCGACAGTGTACAATAACAACAATGTGTGCAGCATAATTTTAAGTAAATACGATGTGTATGTAGGTGTGTAGTTAGCCTGTGGTAAATTATAAAATGTATGCAACGGCAGAATACTACTGTTGTTCTTATCCGCGACCCGCACCCGGAAAGCAGCATAGAGCGAGAACAAGAAAAAGCGTGCACTTGCCAGCGGTTGCATGTGTCACGCGCAAACCTACAGCCAAGGCGAAAACCATAAACATACGGAAAGCGGAAACACCACGACAATGCCGTTGTCACATTGTTGTTGTACTCTTTTTGTGTGTTTTGTTTGCCGGTTCTTCACACTTTTCTTTACTTAACATTCTCTCACATTTTTTTTGTCACTTTTTGGGCCGCAAACTCTTAATGTGACAAGTGCACACGCACCTGAGTTATGTAAGCTAGCGGTATGCTGTTTTTTTTTGTTACCACATAAGGTAGCATTTCTATTATTTTGATTGCTTGGGTGCTTCGTAGGCTTTCTGTACATAAATTATTAGTGCACTCAATTAGTTAATTATTGTTTTGTTAACGAAAGAAATCTAAAAGACACTTTTCTTTGCACGTTTTTGAAGCTTACATAGATAGTTTACTTGCTGGGGGGATAGACATCTAGGTAATTACAATATTTTTGTTTGAAAGTTAGTTATTTGACTACTTTCAATTTCATTTTAAAATTTTTTGAGCATGCTGTACTATATTTTGTAACAATTTGATTAAGTGAGAACTACTCGATGGGGCTCCGATTAAATATTTTAGCTGACTCACAACCGATTTACAAATTTCAAGTTTTTTTCTTATAGAATCCCACTCTACAATACACCGAAGAGTGAATTTCTTATATCAGAAAGCTTCAGAAAATCTATATTAGTCATTTCAAAACTTCTGGTAGTCCTTATAGACCTATTTTTACAATACAAGACGCTTTTGACAACAAAGCGTTTTTGTTTCTAAGTTAGCGATTTTATTGCTATTCTTGATTCTATTTTCCTAAGAAAGATATTTTGTTAAAAACTGAGGTCCAAAGTTTTTTATCTTTTCAAACTATGAAGCGGATTACTGTAACATATATCTGCCATACAAACTGACCGATGGAACTCAAGTCCTCGCATGGAAAACTGTTTTATTTAAAAAGGTATATACTGGAAATTTCGCACAGCTTATTTTCCAAGCTAACGCTACAATCTTCGAACAATTTGTTCAAATCGGACCACTATAGCATCTAGCTGCCATTTAAGCTGACCAATCAATATTAAGATAATAGATTTGGTTGTTTATAACAAAATTCGTAGTTAGAAAGAACTACTTATACAATTAAGAAATGTACGCATGAAGGGTATAATTTAGCATCAGCCGAGAAAGTTAACAAATTTTCTTGATTTTTTTTTTTTTGTTGGAGACACTGTTTTTTAAAAATGGTTTAGAGACAGAAATTCGTTTTCTTTTTTATAACTTCCAAAAGAAATTGTTTAAATTGGGTCTTTGTGCGGGCTTTAGACTATCTTAACTGCAACTCCAATTGTTACTTCGGGTATATATTTAAAAACATCAAAATCCAATATTCTACCAAAATCGCTTCTAAAAATTATGTAACTAACAGTCAAACTCATTAAAAAATTAATTCAAAATTTTTAGAGCCACCTAGTCTAGTCTGGCTAAACGCATTAAATAAAAATTATTTAATGAACACACGCATGTCTAATATACAACATTATTTTTGGAAATTTTATATTTTTAAACACACCAATTTTTTTTATTTTTAATATTTCAAAAACAGTTCCACACAACCAAGTTCACTGCTTCAGTTTATGTCTGAGCGCAATGAACAGAGAAAACTATTTACATGCACACATGCATACATACTTTATTGAGCGTTTTGTTTTGAACCGCTTTTCCGCCAGCAGCTTTGCACGTTTTCTCCCACAAATTCGCGTCGCACGCAAACAGCAAGCCAGCTGAAGAATGTGCCAATCGGCTATGCTTTGCGGCGCTTTATGAAAGTAATTTCTTTAATTTCTCTTTTTTCCGCGTTTCGCTAGTCACACACTCTACACGCGCGCAACGCTCTTCAGTTGCCAATGCAATAACAACAAATAAATTCACAACTTTTTATTCAAATTTCCGCACTGCTTTTAAGAAAGAATGATTTCTTGTTAACATTACAAAAACAGCACGCTGACTGACTGACTTGTCGCGGCGCACCGACTGATTAACTACTTTTTCAACAGTTCACTGGCACGACGCCGCAAAAAAAAATTGGCCAGATAACCAATAAAATATGAAACAATAAAATTCTTCACAAAACTTCATAAAACAAAAAATCTTTAAGAATTACGCGACTTTTCAGAACCATTGTTCGACATTCATTACAGATTTTTATTTTATATTCCACCTTTTCAATAATTTATTTGTTGCTTACACACGCGCACCTGTCACCATCAGCAACGGCCGCGTTGTTTGTAACTATATATATTTGTGTGTATGCATGTATGAAAACACTCACTGAACTTGAGGAGCAACGCGTTGACACGACAACAATCAGCGCTATACTTTTGACAACGAACCAACGCGGATAACGGCGAAACGAAGACTGGACTGCATGCGCGCCCCCAAAGGTAACCAAACAGCAAAAGCCAAACCAAGTCGGCCAGCAAGGCAGCTAGCCAAAGCAAAGGCAGCAGCAGCAGCATAAATGTATTGAAAAAGCACAGCAAGCATTGCAAGGCGCACAACAGCGCTCGTTCGGCAAGCGTAGTGCCGGTGTAGGCACACATGCTGTTCGTGCTGTGTTGGCGGCCGACGTCGACGCGCATGTCTGCGCTGACGCTACAGTAGCTGTTAACACGCGGACAGCATTCGGTTTGGCGCATAATGTTTGGCGTTGTGCGGTTCGATTCGTTCAGGCGCTCGATTGGGGCGTAACATGTTCGATTGCGCTGAGTCAACCTGTAGTTGGGGAAACAAGTGTTGGTGTGAGTAGTTTGAAAGGCACTGTATTATATGGCATTTTTTAATTTTAATTGTTATCAAAAATAAATTATGGTTGAAGTTGGCAGATGAATTTCTGAGAAGTGTGAACGAATTTTAAACTCGGCTTCATAAAAAAGTGTAAAAAAAATTACAAAATTATCCTTGTATTATAAAGAAATTTCGAAAAATGTATAATCAGAAGTCATTACAACAAATTAAGCCTCAGTTTTGTTACTCACATCCAACGAATTGTAGTTTATATACTCTGACTAAAGAATAATTAAAGCCTTAAGGGGTTGGCTAAGTCGGGGATTTCCAAAACTCTCGAGTTTTTTGCTAAAAGTACATTTTAGAGGCTTAAAAACATTACTCTACCATTTTAGCCCGTAGAATGGTCACTTCTGTCGTAGTACCAACCGTTCGAGTCCGCCAGTTGAGCACTTTTTAAACTCATTTTAAACGAAACTGTAGTTTTCAAATCGAAGCGACTATGGTACTCAGAGACGTATCAACTTGAATTCCGGTAAACTTGGTGTGGTTGTACGTGCTTTGTTAGCAAGTTTTTTTTGTATATTAAACCGATTCGAATTTCGAAGACTAAGACGACACTCTATCAATCGAAAATGAAGCATGGAAAGTCATTGCCTTTCGAAAAAAGTGACATTAAATAGTTTTACGTTTGATTAACTAGCAACTCTTTTAAAGTAGAAAGTCTAAATTACTGTCTAATCCAATACGCTATCTGGGCTATATGAGAGAGTTATAAGTCGACAAACTTCTCATTGGGATATTTCTACGATTCCTTCCTTATCTTAAACAGCTCTCGGAGCTATGAGTCTCGGCTGTCTTGTGCTGTTTCCATTAAGACTTCACTAGAGACATACGAACTCGATAACTAAATAAGCACGAGTCGACTTCATTCATAACAGAGTTGAATTTTCATTCCAGTGTGACTTTGAAAGTGGTTTAGGCATTACCCGAAGTCTAGAGATCAGCTGAACTGTGTTTAAAATATTCATGTGCGTCTTTGATGCATCTCAACTCTGTCTATAAGCCGAAAAAGAGTCGTTTCCTTTCACAGTTCTCAGTATAGTCAGGTCTACGTTACGGCAACAGACTCGTACATTTATCTTATCAAGAATTGCGCGCTCGGCAGCAATTCTCAAAACTAATGGAAAAAGCGCTTCTGCCACCACAACAAATACAACAAGAACAAGAGGCGTCTCCGGGGATACATATGTACTATCTGGAGACTTAAAAATAGTTCGCATATAATTTTGTGTATTTCACGATTGCATATAATGCAATATTAACAACAATACCAACAACAATTGTACCTACAAGTGTACGCATGCGCTGAAATGAATTTCAATTGTGATTTTATGATAATATGTGTGTGTACATTTTGGTGTTGTTATTACATTTTTGTTTTGCTCCTATTTCTGCTACCAGCAGCATTGTTCTGTTGCAACAGTCTGCCATCGATGAGATGCAATTTTTCACTCTTTATCGCAAACTTTTTCTCATTCTTATTCGCGGGATTGTTTTCGCTAGTAGGGTACCTAGGCAACCGATCAGGCACACAATTTCGGTTATTTCATTTTCCTTTAGCGGCCTGCTCTACTTCCTTTGCATCTACTCGCATAGTCATATACCATTGAGCATTCAGTTTCGGCGACTCCTTGGCGCGCCGCTGAGTTTTCATTGTGACTTCAATTCGATTGCAGCGCATGACTGTCACTATTGTTGTTGCTATTGTTGTTGTGGTATGATGCTGCTACTATTTTTGTGCTTTATTACCATTACGGTTCGGCTGCCGCTGCTAACTTGCTGCTGTTGCCGCACCTTCTACTCCTACGCCTGTTCTACTTTTTGTCCGCTTGAGGTTATACCCGAAGGTTACCAGCTGAAAAGTATTATTTTCATCAAACAGAGAGATACATCAACAAAAGTTACGAGTCAGGGATAGGCGAATCTGCCTTTATTTTATTGCCATACTCCTAAGTCTATGAACCCATAATTTATCCAGTGCTAGATCCACATAATTTGTTCTCATGTGTCGTTTTGTTCGAGACAAATTATAGATACAGCCCTTAATAATACAACAAATATTAGTATGAATATAAAACTGAATCAATATGTGAAAGAATTTAGACTTTGATAACTTTGTTTATTGTTTACCGTATTCAAAGCCTCAAACCATTCTGACGAAGGAAATTTTAATTTGTTTGTTCCGACGTCTTCGGTGAGGTGGAGGATAGAGTTTGGAAGACATTTGTTCTCTAATTCGGTTAAGATCCATCTATATACCACTGGCTAATGTCAGAATGAAAGGATCTCTCTTCATAGTTTCTGTTACGCAGGCAGGAATATTTATACCGATTTTTTTTCCGCCGAAATAAATTTTTTCACATGCCCTTAGAGTAATCACAGGAACCTAAGATTTTTCGTATTAAAATATTCGCAGTTCTAATGACCTACGACTGTAGCAGGGCATGATTTTAAAGCTATAGTTGATCATATAGTTCACATGACCGAAATCCAGGCTAATCTTTAAATATTTGGTACCTACACAAAAAAAACTAGACATCTTCCCATAACAGTAGAACTAACCTTAATTTTCTTAATCTACTACAACGTTGTCCAAAAAATCTAACACATTAATAACACAAAGCTTTTTCTCATATAGTGTCTGCTTCTCAGTATTTTACGACCCAAACCGTAACTTTATTTAGGCAAGGTAATCTTACACTTATCCGCCCATATTTGGATTCTCTAGCATCTACGGGTGGGTACTTCAAGTTTGGAAGAAACATAGTTAAAAGTACTCACGTTTCAGACACCTAAAGAAACCACCGAAATCAAAATTATTTTACATATAAAACTGATGTGGATCCAAGCGAGTTAATATTTCGTGGTCAGTTCTCCAGACTTGTCCGCACACACCAACTTTTAAAATTTAAAAGGAACGATATAAGATATCTAGTAGGAATACTAAGAGGCCGCTGTGTAGTGGGCAGACATGCCAGTAGACTAAGAACGCCATATAACGACTATTGTAGCAGCTGTTAGGACTTAGAAGTGGAGGAAACCATTCAACATCTTCTGTGCGACTGTACGGGTCTATATAGCAAAAGCATGATTCAGAGAGGAAACAATAGAGTGAGGTTACTTCTGTCCCGGTGGTATCAGAATGAGCCTTCAAATGGCCTAGGTGTAAATCTAAGAAAAACCGACTGGAGCTTACAGTTCATTACTATAACATTTCACGAAAAAACCATGCATACTTGATATACACATATAGGGTATTGGGTACCACAAATTAAAGAAATGGAAAATCGAAGAAACCACTTTCTATATATGAATCATTTCGAGGAGTTTTGATAAATTCTTTCCAATTTAGTTTTGAGCTTGCATAATAATTGTTAGAAAGATACTCAAATGCCTTAAGCGAAATACGACTCTATTTGTTGTCGGGTTAAAACAACTTCGGTTGTGTTCGAATCTTCACCACCTTACACACTATACTTTTTTGTTTTTGCTATCATAGATATCCTGCTGTTAAAGCTGCTGTTCTCATTGTTATTGCAGTGCTTGCGCCGATATATAGTCGAACTTGTTGTTGCTGCTGTTGTTGTTCGGGTTTTTATGCAGCTTCCGAATCAATTCAATTGTTTTCGCCAATTTTACAGTATTGAATTTCTTCACTGCAATCGGCACAGCATGTTGCGCCAACCAACCGATTTTCGCATTTCATTTTGCCTGTTTTTATGATGCTCATCTATACGGTTGTTGTTGCTTTTTTTTTTGTTGATGTTGTGAACTGAATGTTGTACTGACATTATGCTAGCTGATATTCGCCTGGTTTATTTAGAGTTTACTGATTTCAGTTTCGTAATCTGCGTGTAGGCGGCAGGCTTCGAGGATTTGCCGATAAACGAAATGAAATCGAAGTGCAAGCGAAGAGCTGCAAGAAGCGAATATTGAGAAGGATTGCGAATTATTGCTATTTGAAAGGTTTGGTGGTGATAAGATGATAAGAAGTTGACTATCTGGGTGACGAAATTTATTTACACTAAAATAAAAATTTCCGGACAAATACTAGGTACACGATGCTTTTAAACCGCCTTAATCCTCTCTAATGCACTTAGTTGGATATTCAGTGGCGACGACCCTAACTTTTTTTGAGCTCCTGCCTATCAAATGACTACAAAAAACTTAATTTCCGGTCAACTTTTTATTTATTATATTTAGAGCACAGTCTCGAGTAAGTTCCATATTCGATATATTTAACCTTCAGCAAGATAGCTTTGTTGATAAATGAAAGAGATTTCAGAAAATTTTCGAGATTAAAGTGAAGAAAAATTGGTAACAAAAACTGGGAGTAGACAACTAGTAAAAATTAGGAAAATAAACTCTCAGTGTAGAGCAATGGAATCAGCCGACTCTGTAGGAATTCTAAATGGGTACGATTTCATACAGGAGACGATATTTCCAGGAGCAGTCACAATTCTTTTAGGAATAATATTTATTAAGAATGTATTTATAAACAAATATACTAAACGTTCGTGCCGTCGACGAGACGATGAGCATTAACCTTAGAGTCTGTTGGAATCAGTAAAAGCATTACAAAGCATGTCAGGCTTGAAACCACACTAGAACTACATTTTAGAACAGTTGCTATTTTGATTTATATGGCGACTTCAAAAGTGAAAAGCAGAAAAGAGGGTAAGAGGGTTAAGAGAGAAAGACAGAGAAAGAGAGAGAAATTGAGAGAGAGAGATATAGAAAGAGAAAGAGGAGAGAAAAAGAAAAGTAGAGAGACTATAAAGAAGAAAACACTGCTATTTTTGGCGTTATCAACATTGAGTTAGTTGTTACATATTTACTTGTATATAGCGTTAAACCCAAAAAGGCAAAATTTGTTTAGGCTGAAATTAAAAATTTGTTAGGCTGGAATCTTTCCATCGGCTAGACCCTCACCTCCTGAAAAAAAAGTTGACTACGTTCTAAGAAAAAAGATCGTATGCTTTCGGCGAAGGCTTCACCGTCTAACCACTGGCTCTTTAAAATAATAAAACCCATTCTTCATATATACGAGTATTTATTATATATTTTTTATAATTTATCGTCTTATCTTGGTTCTACAATTTAAACAGCCACTTGCCTAAGCAAAGTTTATTTAAAAAAAAAAATTAGTTCTCATGGCATTTATGTACGTGTAGTATTAGTGGACCTCTCGACATGTAATTGAGCAAATACTCATATGCTGTATATGGGTCTACATACTACACACATACACTGTATATGTACATATGTATGTGTCATTGCACTGAACTCTGCTCAACGACAACGTGTATTTATAACTATCCACGCTTTGTTATGCGCATTTATGACTTCTATTTACTTACCATTCTACGATACGGTCTTCGAAGTTCTGATAAGATTAGAACCATAGTAAATTTGTTTATTTGCTTTCTTATCACCGTTCACTTCTTAGCTCACTCTTCTGCTCGTTTTATGGCAAATTTGTTGTATATGGGTATACATAAATAACTACTTTGTGTAATATCTAGAGAGTCATATATTGGATGGAGACTTTATCTAATATTATATAGATTGTTGTGTAGTATTAATTTCCTGTGCGTGAAAATGTTGTGATTAAAATTTAAGTTTTGAGTTATTCAGTTTAACTTAGCGGTTTGCCGATGTAAGACGTGCGTGTCCACTGCGAACTTCGGTTCTAGTAGCCTACGGGAGAGCGGCGGAAAAATGTGATCTCTTGGCATTATTGGGTAAGTAAATTTCGGACAACAATATAAGTAACAGTTAAACAATTTACTTTAGGGTTGTATGAAATAAAGTAGAACGGTTAGGGAGCAGATAAGAAGCACAACTGATTAGAAATTAGATATATAAATATAATATATGTATGTATATATCAAAGCAGGGTTAAAGTTCACCGTTACCTAATAAGTGAAAGATATAAAAAAATAGCGATGTATATAAAGCTAAGTAAGAGGTACTAGGAAAGTTTACACCACAAAGTTTAGTATTATATCCAATCTCTTTTCCGAAAAGTGCGGTGTTAAGCGGAATCTAACCTCTAAGTTTCGCTTATGTATGGTATAATATATGTTTGTACTATGGACATGACCCTAGTCTGCTAATTGGCCATATACAACCGCATAAATTCATTGTTATAGAAAAATCTCTCGTTTTTTAGCAAGCTATGTTAAACCAGAGAACAACTTGTTTTAAGTTCTCTGGTTAAACCACGAAGAATATCTCGAACACGAAAAAAATTCTTTTGAAGCTTCAGAACTTTTTCAAGGTTTTTTTTCACTAGATAACCGTTAGGCATACATCAGCAAAAGCACTATCTAATTGATTTAACTATCAAAGTCCGATTTAAAACTTTTACGAATTTGAGATTATCTATTTGTTTTGTAGGATGCAGGGAATGAAAATATGTTGTGCTAGAAAGCTGGGACAATCTGTCCTTCTAGAACGTTCCACTTATTCGAGATCAAGGCTAAAATATCTTGGATCTCATACCTTTCGACATCTAGATAAACTAGCGGGACTATAAATAAAATAGCAAAGCTTGTTTGTGACGTGTGCAAGACAATCTGTCGATATGTGAGACCCAACTATAAAAGCGTCTCAGCTCTAGAAAGAATTTTCTTTAGCAGTCCAAGGGTGGTCGCTATAGCACCTAAACTATGTTATAAAGCTCCATATTTATAACGACTAGGTAGTATTTTAGTTAGTAGATGCATATCTGCTAAGTATTTGGATGTTAAATGTGAGGAAAATTTCGTGATTATGCGCCTTTCGACTATTTTTGGTGCTGAAGATCATCACACGGATTAAGAAAATTAGTCCATTCAACTAAATTAGTAACAATTTGATTCGGCTCATGACAACGAAGTAAATAGGTCTGTGCCGATATCCCACGCTTAGAAGCTTATGAGCAGTACTTTCTCCGACGAAATTACCTCATTACTTTTCTACACTAATAAGAAGAGACTCAGATAGCTCGCATAGACTATAATGCTTACCACGTGTGACACGAGGTTTTAGAGTTACAAATACAATTGAGACTAGATTCGAACTTGCATTATTTCCATTCAGAGTCTGCCACGGTAGAAGTCTTTAATAAGAATGTGGCAACAGTTCCATTTCGCTACTCATAAGTCGTTAACGTGAAAGGTAATGTATATAGCTAATTTTCAATTAATGTATACACTTTTAACGCGATGCTCTTTTCTTTAGAAATTAAGTTCACATTATTAATCCACTATTCTTTTACTCATTCATAATATATTTTTATGTAAGAGGTATTTATGATAGCTATAGATTAAATAATATCAGTTGTTGTTTTTTATTTGTAATAAATATGTAAGCTTTCCATACGCTGGTTTTAGAGCTTTAAAGCTCACTTACATTTGTGAAAGCTCATTTTATGTGAAATCTCTGTGGAAGTATTATTTATTTGGCTTTATTGCATTCTATCATTTTTTATATTAACTATTAATTTTATTTCTTCTTCCAGTGATTGCCGTGATCTACGCTTGTACGCAGAAAAATGTGACAAATTTGGTGGAATTCCACACGGTTCAGATAAACCAAGCAACATCGCACCGCATGCACAGTTAAACTCAAAACAAAAATTGAATTGCTACGAAGTCGAAATAACAGTTAAGCGCCTGTTATTTTTCTTGTCTAACTCCGGTCTACATGACATTTTAAATACTTTCGAATTAATCTTCCTCCTAAAAAGTATTTAAATTTGATTGAAGGATCGAGGGTATTTTGCGCTAACAAAAATTCATAAAAAGTTGAAACATACTGAAAATCTTTTGATTTCCTTATTGCACACGATTCTATTTTATTTTCACAATCTGTAACATATCACTGAAGGATCTCAGTTTTAAAATTTCTTTACTGCATTTTGCTTTCGTGCACGATTCGGATGATTTATCGATAACTTCTGCATTAATAGGCGACAATTAATATATCCTAGCCGAAGAACGATGCAACCATTTAGCAAAAATTGGGCTTCGTAATTCAACTGCCGAAAGTAACGGTTATTGAAAAAAAATCCTTAACCTAACGTTTATATTTCTGCTAATTTTTTAAGTTTTTAAAACAAAGTAGTGTACTTGAAAAATTAACATAACTCATAAAATCCGAAAAGCTGCAATTAGCATTGCAGTAAAAGCTTTAGTAAGCTTTGAAAATGGGTTTGCTGAGTAAAAAATATATTATTTCGACGATTCTGCATATATCACTTCTTTTGATACCAAATACATGTTTAAAAAAAAAATCTATTTTGTAAAAAAAAGAAAGCTTTTTAAATTTTTAAAAGAAACACAAATTTCTAAATTATTTTAACTAAGAAGCTAACGTTTATATTCCTGCACGTTGTCAAATTTTTTAAAAGAAAGTAGTGTACTTGAAAACTAAATAAAACTCTTAAAATCAAAAAGCTGCAATTAGCATTGCAGTAAAAGCTTTGGCAAACTTTTGTAACCGATTTGTGGAGCAAAGTATACTTGTATGTCGATTCTAAACAAATTACTCTTTTGATACTAAATGTATGTTATTAGAAAACATTAATTTTGTAAATGAGCTTTAAAAAGCTCTTAAAAGTAATTTACTTGTTGACATGAGAAATGCTTAAAAGTTAGCAGTATATGATATAATAGTGTTTTGAAAAACTATAAGCATTTTTATTAAAAAACTGTAATTAGCATTACAGCAAAAGCTTTAGAAAGCTCTTTTAATAAAAAGGTTTTGCAAGTAAATATATCTGGTCTACAATAGCACAAATACATACATGTGTGTTAAGTCTTCTGAAACTAAAACTTTTAAAAAGCTTGATGTTCCGTTTGTAAATGATTTATATTTTGAGCTGTAGGAAGCTCTGAATTAAACAAATGTATAACACATTTACTTTTAGTGCTATTTTAAAATGAAAAATTGTAATATCTTTGGATATTTGTGAATAAAAATAAATATGTAACATACCTGCGTACATATATTTGATTTTTAAATTTTTTGAATTTAGCTGCGGTCATGAAATTATGCCCTTATTAAACTTACTAAAGCATATGGAAATGTGTATCTTTATTTTCAGTTTATTGAGCTTTTATTTAATAACATAATATTCAGTTAGTGCTAGAGCTATATTGCCGACTGTACTCTACAAACTTGAAAACTTTATATGAAAAGTATTGATGCTTACAAAAGCTCATGTCGTTATGTCGTACGAAATCCGTTCCCACTGCAGTCGGGTTTACGTAACCGGAACAGACACGGATTTTTATCCAGCCAGGACTATCAACTCGTTAGAATTCTGCCGATAGAACAATCACATAAACAACATGGCGTATTTAATAGATGTACTCGTAGAGATTTATTTAACGAACTGTGCTACGAACTTTCAAAAATTTATAAACTTAACTTGTTTTCAGCTCTTGTCGCTTTATTATTTGCTTTCTTTCGCGAAAGTTCAGACCATTTTGGTTTCCTGTTGTGAAGAGCTTTTCATGAGTTTAGACTCAGGCACAATTTAAACTAGCACTAGATGTACACTTAAAACATATTCAATCTCAAAACAGTCAATAACAGCAATATTCTCGGTAAATATGGGTGAGTTGAGCTTGGTACAATTATTCTTTTTTAAGAGATCTCACTAATTGTGAGAAATCTGACATTTCGCTTACCATTCGTGGTCTTACTCTTGTGCTTCCGGTGTTTTAGAAAGCTTCCGAGACAATGCAAGAACTGGAGGACTTATCAATACCGTGTAGTCAAATGCAGATTTAACGCGAGGTAGTAAAATTATATTGATATTGAGCAAATTGTATCTTGTGGCCCAGAATTTTATCTGACACAGTCAGTTTAAACGAAAAACCTCTCCGATTTTTACTGTGACTGTTTAATCGCGGATGAAGCGGTGGTTAACTCGATTGTTCTGTTGTTTTGAAGCCTAAGAATCATGCATTTTGGTAAACTCCTTCTGTATGGGGCCGCACAGTTATCCGATCTGTCAGCTAATGAGCTGAGGAACTCTTTTAGAATTTTTATATACTTTTCATCGGCCTTAAGTAAATTTTCCCAATCGTTTACTTTCTTCCTCTTACCTTACCCTTCTTGTCATTTATATTCTCTCTCTCATAGCATCAACATTTTGAGCTGTGGTTGAAGCCCTTGCCATTCAAGAATTTTTTAACCCTTTCAGGACAATTTAAAACAGGTGTCACTTATCACTAGTGACATCGTGACTTGTGACCAAATTAAGAAAGTAAACAGTGCCAACACAGCACTTACGCTGATCTGTGGCAAAAGCGGTGAGTGTCCCATGGGAAGCTAAAAAGTCAAGTAGCGTGTGAAATGAGGTGAGGTATCGAGTTGACGATGTCATAGAACGCAGCAGAAAATTGGTGCCCGCACAGAGATAAACAAACATGCAGTGACAAGTCAACTTGCCGCCACCAACACCGCAGTCTTTTCGTAGAGAATTATAATTAAAATGGTAAACACGTAGGAAATGTCAACACGCACGATGATGATGAATTAAGTGGCAACGAACGAGTGCCAACAGTAACTAAGTTGTGCGTTTACAAGCTGGCAACTGGTGCTGCATGCAGCAAAGACACTTTTAGTGGCACAAAAACGCTGTTGCACATTGATTGAGTTGCAGCAAGGCAATGGCGGCTAGCCACGCAGCTGTTGTTGCAGTGAATGCAAGGAGTTGTGGTCGCGGGTGCTGAGATTTTAGGCGCACTAACGCGACTTAACTGAGCTTACTGTACGACCTTAATTAGATTAAAATGTAGCTGGCATTGAGTGTTGTTGCGAGACCGGATTAAAAATTTCAAGTTAACGGCACATCTCAAGAAAAAAAATATATTTAAATTTCTTGCTCAAACGTTCTACAAAATTTTTGTTTTTCCTAACTGTACCGCATTTTTAAAAGTACTAGAAACTTTGCATTTATCTCTACCTCCTCAGATCTTGCTTTTAAGCATCTTTTTTATTTTATTTCACTTTGCTATATTCGTTAAATCTCTTATCATTTCTTCTGTGTATCATCTTTTTTTAACTCTTTTGCAAAGCAGCCTTGTTGCACCACCCAAATTAGCGCTTGTTGCACGTTGTAATTACAAATATCGCCAACGGTTGATCGCTCATCCACCTCATCATTGACGAACCATGGCATTACTCGCAGCATATTGTTGTTGCAAGCACAGCTATGCCGACGAACATGCATTTAATTAAATGTCGAAAAAATGCTGCAAAGTTGTAATGAAGAGGCTTGAACTTATAGCGGCAAGAATGCAGATCGACAGTGACAGATAGTAGGTGATGTGACACACAGTGGCACGGTAACATGACACTTTTAGTCAAAATTCGTAGCTCTACTTTGTGGGTTGATCAAAAAACGTCTATCCAAAAAATCTTCGATATTTCCTTACCGTCATCTAATGTATTCCATTGCTTCTGGTATATGCTGCCTTAGCTCCAAAAATTATATCTTTGCACCGTGTTTATATTATTCGAATCTTCCATTAGCTTATTCCCGTATTAAATAACCATATGTTTATCTAACTAAGCTTTTCGTTATCTTATTTCTGTCTTCTAGTACCGCAAAAACCCCGTCTAATCACACAATTCATTATATCCCTTTTGCACACGCAAATATTTTTCTCATCTTTTCTTAGTTCGAGAGAACGATTTCTAAAGCTCTGACTCTGCTTCAACATTTTTTTTTTTTTTGATAGTTTTTGTGTATTAATAAAAGGCATTGCTTTTCTGTAGCTAAGTCTTGATTCGACTGTTGCAGAAACCTTGTAAAGCTCAGTGACAAGTCAAGACAGTGCTCAGCTTATGAGGGTAGCGCAGAGATTGGATTAACAGTATATAAGTGCTCTGAAAGCTCTCTTTTACTCTTTAACGTGTGTACAACCGCTATACATTTTAGACATGCACTAAGTAAGTACCCTAAGAAAGATCTATAGACCTCTACGAGATAGTTGAGACGAAAACTTCAACTGTTACATCAGCAGACACATTGATACAGACTTTGTTCTCGGCATTCATATGTATACTCTACTCTGAAATTACTAAAGTATCTTCAAGCAATACAGAAGATAAAAAATATATGTTCCAGGAACCAAAAATATATTGCTATGCCATAGTGGGCTCTGAAAAGATCCTTTAAGTAGTTAGTCTCTTAAAAATGAAAAAAATAACTCTTTCTAAACCTCTTTGTCAGATACATGGCCCAGTTTTTCTTCCTATTTAATGTTATGTTATCTAATGCTATCCGACAAAGCAAGGGCTTCAAGATTTTTACGTTTTTCGGCTAGCGGTTAATTGATGAGCATCTTTTTCCACTGAGGGGTTAGCACAGTTAGGAAAAGTTTTTTATAAGTAGCTGGAGCTAGAGCTTAAGACTTGCGTAGAGATGATGCCGACCTTTTGCTATTATACAATCAGTGCAGCCATGCTCTAGGGTTTACATACAATTTAATATGGATCACGCGAGGTATGAACCTTAATTTTAGATAGAAATGGATACAATGCTTTTCTTCAGATTGTATATTATATTGCTTTCTCTTACATATGTATGTATATACCTCACTTGGCTTAATAACCGGCTGTTTGTAGAATTCTGCTCGTATACATTTTACGTAAAGCTCGTAGACGCAACACAAGACACTGTGCGCCGCAGCAAGGTGGCAAGAATAGCCGCCAGGCAGGCAGGTGCTTAAAAGTAGCAGAAAAGTGGCTTCTCCAAGGGATTGAGCTTCACTTGCTGCTTAAATAAGCAAATCAATGCTCGCTGCGCGCAACTGTTTGCTTTTACGCATGAACATACACACGCTACCTACACGCATTGAGCTGAGCCGCCAACTAAGCACCCAAGTGAACTTGTACGCTTCAACGGTGCTGCGCATGCCTTCAAGTCAAAACACTGAACCACTACTTGCCGTAGCGAATTTTGCGATTAACCTTTTGCATTTGCGAATCGATCGCATTTTTATGCGCACATATGCTATTTACATTTTGATCGTACGCGCATGCGTGGCAGCCCTTTGCGTTCTACTGCTATGCGCACCTAGCTGATTGGTATCTTATAATTCATATGCATGCCTGCGCAAATAAATAGTTATGCGCGTAAATATATATGTATGTATATATTTAGAATCAAGTGTGACTACTGCATGCGGAATCACTGCGTGGCTCATCAGCTGCGCTTCGCATATTTTAACTTATGGTATAGTCGCGTTCTGGCTACGACCCGGTCTTGCCTTCATATTATTATCTCGTTGATCTTTTAATCGCCGCGACTGCTATGTGCATCCCTCAGGTAAAGCTTAGCACCTTTATAATGTGCTGAATGCTCAGAGTCAGCTTTAGTGTTCTGTCTGCGCATACATTGTGGTAAAATATTCATTATTCGCGATCTAAAGAAGACGCAGTCGGGTTAAATTAAGCCAAGTCACAAGGTATATAGCAAGCTTGGCAACAATATTTACTATATTTATTTAGAGTTCGCTGATCAGTTTTGTGAAATTGTCTCGATCCGACAACTGCAGGGCCTTCAAACACAAGTTTGATTTTGTGTGCACCTTTTTTTATTACAATCGTAGTCCTGAAGTTTCAGTTGGCCTACAGATAAGTTTTTACAAAAATTTTGTTGTGCGCTAGATGAGTTTCAGCCTAGGTGCTGTTACATAACCCCCAGCGAATGCAGTTTGCTTCCGGCACTGCATAGTTAGAATAGAGCGGTTATCTGGAGACATCTTAGAGATATATTTCTTTCCACGATGAAGTGGTTACTGACGTAAGCGACATTCTTTAGCGCTTTCATTAGTATCATACTTTATCAGTACACCTTGTATTAGATGAAATGTCAAAAAACTTGACTACTTGCGCTCTAGATGATAACCAACATAATTATGACTTCTTCTTATGCCAACTTTCAGGCGATTTATATAGCAAACACGCAGATTTT